GTGAATACTGTAGTACAGACAAACCCTGGGGTGTTTGGAGCTGCTGTGTGTAGAACATGTAACATGAAGTCTTTTCTGCTCACCAAGGCTGCGTTTATTTGATCAAAAAATACAGTAAAAATTGTGAAATATTTTTAATATATAAAACAGCTATTCTCTATGTGAATATCTGTTAAACTGTAATTTATTTCTGTGATAAAAACGCTGTATTTTCAGCATCATTACTCCAGTCTTCAGTGTCACATGATCTTCAGAAATCATTCTAATATGCTGATTTGCTGTTCAAGAAACATTTCTGTTTATTATTAATGTTGAAAACAGTTGTGCTGAACAATATTTTTGAGGAAACCGTGATACACTACCATTCATAAGTTTGGGGTAGAAAAAGGAGAAATTAATAGTTTTATTCATCAAGGATGCATTACATTGATCAAAAGTGACAGTAAAGACATTTATAATGTTGCTGTTCTTTTGAACTTTCTATTCCTCAAATAAACATCAAAAAATATATCCTTTATTTCTACAAACATTTTAAGCAGCAACAATTTTTATATTCTTATTATTATCAAAACTGATAATAAGAAACATTATTAATAATTAAGCACCAATAATAATTGATAATAAATGATCACTAAAGTACATAATAATAATAATATTAATAATCATCTAATAAAAAATGGCAGTAAAGACATTTATAATGTTACAAAAAAATTTTTTTTAAATTTTTTTTATTTTATTTTTCATCAAAGATTCCTGGGAAAAATGTATCACAGGTTCTACAAAAATATCAAGCAGCAAAAACTCTTTTCAACATTGATAATAATAAGAAACATTATTAATAATTGAGCATTGATAATTTAGCAGCAAAGCAGCATATTATACTGATTTCTGAAGATCATGTGACACTGAAGACTGGAGTAATGATGCTGAAAATACAGCTTTGATCACAGAAATAAATTACGGTTTAACAGATATTCACACAGAAAACAGCTGTTTTAAATTGTAATAATATTTTACAATTTTTACTGTGCTTTTGATCAAATAAATGCAGCCCTGTTGAGCAGAAGAGACTGCATTGTATATTCGAGTACCATAGTTATTTTGACATTTGTTTAGCATTCTTTTAAATACCTAGATGCACCATTTCCACTTCTGGAGCAGAAAATATGTGTAAAAATCCCACAGGCGTTTACATTTATGCTGTTAGTAGATGTTTTTATCCAAAGACAGGAAGAAACACCATATGTTGGTGATGTTTTACAAAGACAAACACTGCTTTTATGTTCGTCAGAGAATGTAAACATCTAATATTCTGTGTGAAAACTCCTCTTTAGTCCAAACATTTTAATGGTAGAGCAGCCAGTTGGCATGACAACGTTTTTTCTTCTTATCTTTCTCTGAGTAATGCAACACGAATTATCCAAGTGCAAAAAAGAGAGGAGAGCTTTGTAAATTAGTCTCTTTCATTTTGATGTTACACTCTCGCTGTTACAGGCTCTGCTGCAATACGTGATTCTCTCCATTCTCAAAGAGCTGCTTCATGTTTTTAAAAACTGCTGCTGCTTCCAGCACTTCAGTTTAGGATGTACACGAATGAACTGCTCGTAGTGCAAAGTCTGTTTAGTTAAAGGTGCTAATGAATAAGCGACAGAATCACATGGGTTATGTTATAGCTCAGTGACTGTAATGCACTTTAATGCTTGTTTTCTCTAGCAGTGCTTTTGCATGTTGGTTTTAAACATCTACTGTCTTAAATTTGAATCATTTCTGAATTTGGTCCTCCAAACTAATATTCGGTGTTATGTTTTTGTGATTTCTAGCAGAATAAAAGACATTCGACACTGGTATTAATGTAAATGAATGTTAACAGTTTTACATTCATGCATTTGGCAAATGCTTTTATCTAAAGAAATTTACATTGCATTATATACACGTTATTAACCCATGCATTTTCTGGGAATCAAACCCACAACCTTGGTGTTGAAATTAATGTGAATGTGTTGCAGCTGAACGTGTTATATAGAATACAAAAATTAATTCTAACTACGTTTTGCATTCACTGAAATTAATATCATGTTTTCACTAAGTTGTTCTTTTGTAATATGCATTATGTATTTTCTGAGAATTTGTATTTTTATTTTAGTGCACAAAGTTGCTTTACTGTAAGGATCACTGAAACTGAGTGCATGGATATTTGCATGGATTCGGCTTTTCTTACTGGTCATTTTAATCTTATTTAATTAAACACCAAATTAATTTTATGCATTCTGTCTGGATTACATCTGTTTAAACTAATGTTTGTGTATGTATGAATGCATGGATGCATTGTGTATATATATATGTTTAACCCTATAAAGCTACTGGATCGTATTTGATGCACACATTTCTAAGGCTCTAAATAATCAAACTTTGCTGTTAAACCTGTTTCACACTCGATCTCCTGCATGCATTCTGTCGTCTGATTGATCGTTTAGAGTTTTTTTATCCAGTCAAAGCTCTTTTAGTGTAACTGTACAAACGTCCAGCTTCAGCTGGAGCTTCAGGTGTCAAATCTTGACTGGTTTTTATCAAGTAAAGGTCAGAATAACTGCAGTAATATCTCCAGATGAACACTTACTGGACTGAAGCAGCTCAGCTTTACTTGATTCTCCATCAATCATGTTTTAGAGTCTCAAATCTGATCCTCAGGATCTTTTGAGGAGCGTTTGTTTCCAGAAGCTTTACTTTCACTGTTCCTCAGCGGAGGAATGATCTTCACAAGCCTCCAGAACATCTCACATCTTCTGAGGAGCCTTTATTTATTCAGCTCTCAATCACTGCATTATATGTTTATATGACATATATTATATGTCAAAAGAAGGTACAGCAGATGTGTATAGAGCGACCGCTGATATTTATAGCATTTTATGTCAGTATCTGCTGTAGTGTTATAAAGATCTCACTGATTCACATTACAAGCATCAGAATTTCATCATATAAATATCAGCATCTGCACCACATTCAGATTTTTGCTGAGTTTGAGTCTGAATAAAATTGAGCTGTTTTTACTTCATATTCTCACTGCAGACTATATGAGCCATAAAAGCCTGATGCATCAAACAAAAACAAAAAAACACATGCAAAGAGATTATTTTTAATTATTTTGTCTAAAGCTTCAATAAACCGTTCCATTTAAAAATGCAAGACTGTATTTCATATATCAGGCTTTACAGGGTTAAAGCATCTTGGTTTCGTCCAAGGTTATTTCTTCATCTACTTAAACATCTTAAGCAGTTTTTCTCATTGTCTCCTTTGAATTGATCATTAAGTGTTTGTCAGCTATTCTTTCTAAACAATGGCTATGCTTCGAAACAATGTGTATTATAAAAAGAAATGTATTTGAGCCAAATAACCCGTTCGAATGAAGCTATATATTGTTTTCTCACAATAATAGAACCATTCCCTTTATAAAAATGTGTTTGGCTGCTGTCCTTGGTGCTGAACGTCGCCTTCATAAACGATCCGCTTCACACGAACTGAGGACGAACCAGAGGCTTTTTCAGATACAGCAGTTACAGTCAGGGTGAAACGAGAGACCTCTTACGCAGACAAATTCAAATAAATGTCATTCTTCATTCAGAGAAAGTGTGTGTGGTGTAGATGAGAGTGCGAGCAGTGCTGCATTGAAGAGCTGCTGGAATGTAATTGGGATGCTGCAGTGCACTCTGGGTAAAGGACGCTTGCAGCTCCAGCCGTGAGTCACGTATGGAAATCATGCCATGACTAAAGAGGCGCCTGGTTTTGTCAATGAAACTCCTCGCTGCTCGACAGACTGATTTCTCTCTTCCCGGAGCAGACGCTGACACAGGCACTCATCACACATGACCTTATATCAGATCCGCTGCTCTCGAGTTTTTAATAAGCACTGATGGCACGAGCTGAACCACACATTTTTACTTCTCTAAAGGCTGAACTCTCTCTCTTGATCATGTTGTCTGATTTGATGGGGGTTTTCACCCTGTAACTTCCAACCTCAAAATGTTTTAAATGTGACTGGGATTGCACAAAGTGCTGAAAATCGTGGGTTATTAGTGTTTATTTATCAATTAATTAATTAATTAATGTTTGTTTGTTTATCTATCTGTCTATCTAGTTTACAGTGATACTAGTGGAATATTTTCATGTATGTGTATATATATATACTGTATATACACTCATATTCTCACACTCACATTTTTTATATTTTATGGGATTGCACAAAATGTTGAAAAAGAAAATCATGGATTATTGGTGTATATATTTATTTATTTAACCAGTTTGTATAATTTATGTACTATCCGGTGATACTACTGCAATGTCTTTTATTTTGTATTAATATATTTTATTGTATTTTATATTTTTACTATAATGCATTTTAATGGGATTGCACAAAATGTTGAAAGAGAAAATCATAGTTTTTTTTTTTTAAACCAGTTATTATAAGTGGCACTATCCAGTGATACTACTGGAATGCATTTTATTATTATTATTATTATTATTATTATTATTATCATCATAATGTTATGGTATTTGATTTTAATTATAAAATATTTATATATTTTTATTTTAACTATTTATTTTTAACAAATTATTATGAATGATACTATCCAGTTGTGTGTGTGTGTGTGTACTCAAATGCGTTTTCAGAAGGCCAAAATAGCATGTTTTTCTTCGCCTTTAGCATCTGCAGTAGACATTGACACATTCCCCACTATCCTAACAGATAAAGAGGTGAAGCTCTTCTTAGGCTGATGATGCTGATAACCCCTCTGGTTCTGTGCTGTTTTTATCAGACTGCTGCTTTAAGCTGATGTTGTAGTGAGCTGTGCTGCTCAGAATCATTTCCACCTCTGCGGCAGACCAAAGACAAGCAGAAACCCCTGCTTCCTCCAGCACTTTGCCCTTCTCTCTCAATCAGACAGGAGCTGACACACGTCTGCGCATCAGATGCACATGTCTCACATGCGTTTCTCCGTTTGCAGAACACGTTGGCCATCGCCTCCATACATTTCCCGCTGGCTGGCCCCCGGTCTGGGGAGAACTGCACCTGTAAGCTGCAGCTGATCGTCTTCCGCAATGGAAAACTCTTTCCGTGCACGGGGAATTCGTCAAATCTTGCGGACGATGGCAAGCGCAGAAGCGTTTCGACACCAGTTGCGTTCACCAAATTAGGTAAGAAATGCAGTAACTCTTGTTGAGGATGTTTCTCCATCAGCTCAGCTATGAGCCTGACTCACTCCACAAGGACTGAACCTGTCATAAGTGTACTGTACGCGGTGAAAGCCTCAGGTAAATGAGTAATTAGCGAGGGCACTTGTTCGCCCCCTTCATTCTTCATGGCGAAGCGGAGCGCGGCGCTTTTACGCGCAGCTCTCAACGAGCGGCAGCGGCGTGTACATGACTCCATCGGTCTCCGCTCGGACTCATGCTCGGGATATGTGGGATTTCGCCGCCTGAGAGTGATTTGGTGTGGATTTTGAGAGCGCAATGCCATCCGATCGTCCCTAGTGGCGCCGAGCGCGCGAGCTCACAGCCGCCGAATGTTCGCCGACGAGTGGGACTCCATCGACTGGGAGGTCAGTCCGGTGCACCACAGCGGTTTATGCATCGAAACCTGAATGCTTCTGTTGTGCACGGTTGAGCGAAATATTCATCGTGCGGGATGCGCGAGCGATGCACGAAAAATCAAAGTGTTTCTCGCATAATAGAGCTGGATTCAATTGAATTTGAGATGTTATATCATCGATTCTGGTCGTGCGTGTGGACCTGAGTGGTTTTCCACAGTGAATGGAAGTGCTGATGTTCTCGTGATGCTTTGAACTTCACGCGTTAAAGGAGGTGAAAAAAACGTTGCATCGCACTGATCTGATCTGGGATTCCAGCATCTATCAAACATGCATCATATCTTGTGATGTGATTAGGTCATATTTGTGACCCTGGAGCACAAAAGCAGTGTTAAGTCGCTGGGAGCTGATGCAGCCACCACACCCGCAGTCCGCAGTGTCTGAGGAAAAGGGGCTTTCAAACCGTTTGCGAAGCGCATTTATGAACGCGCGTGCCGTGCTAAACTGGCGCCGCTGGGATTGGGTTTGTGAACCTGTTGCTCGGTTTCATCAGAGCTGCTCTAGAGCTGCAGATGTTGCCGTGTAGATCGCTGCTCTCCAGCGTCTGTTCTCCATCAGCACAGTCAATGCTGTCACTTTAAAGTGACTGTAATCTTGTTAAATTGTTATATTTTTTATTTTTATTTTTTACCCTTTTTCATAGTTGATGCAAATCAAATTCAGTCACTGCTGAATTGCACTGATCTGATCTGGGATTCCAGCATCTATCAAACATGCATCATATCTTGTGATGTGATTAGGTCATATTTGTGACCCTGGAGCACAAAAGCAGTGTTAAGTCGCTGGGGTATATTTGTAGCAATAGCCAACAATACATTGTATGGGTCAAAATTATAAAAAAAATTTTATGCCAAAAATCATTAGGATGTTACGTAAAGATCATGTTCCATGAAGATATTTTGTACATTTCCTACTGTAAATATATCAAAACTTAATTTTTGATTAGTAATATGCATTGCTAAGAACTTCATTTGAACAACTTTAAAGATGATTTTCTCAATATTTAGATTTTGTTGCACCCTCAGATTCCAGATTTTCAAATAGTTGTATCTCAGCCAAATATTGTCCTATCCTAACAAACCATACATCAATATTCAGATTTACACTTAAGACTGGTTTTGTGGTCCAGGATCAGATATGTATTTATAGGTTCTGTAATTTACTGTACTTTACCTGATTTTCCAGATTGAAGTCTTTACAATCAGTCTATTACATGCAACCGTGTTTGTTTCTGACCTGACGCTTTTTGTTGCTTGCTTTCTTGTTTGCATGCATGCTTTCTTTGTTGCTTTCTTGCTTTTTCACAATATTCCTGCAGTTTCATACTATAATTTAGTTTCTGAACCTGCTGCTCTTCTCCCAGATGTATTTTTAGTGTGGATCAACAGTAGTTTTGTCATATTCTCCACAAAACTGGCTAAAATGTAATTGCAAACCTTTTTGTGCTTTTTGCATAAATTGATTCAAACCAAATCTGGTTTCTGTAATAGTAGTTTTTGCAATGTTCAGACTTGCATTTATATACCTAGCAAACAGTTGATGCATTATCACACATATATAGTGAGAAAATACTGTTAATATTTGGTTATTTTCAGATTATGTGATCATATTATCAGATCATTAATTTTCTAAGCCCACATTCTCAAAATCCAAACAAGCCTTTATTAATCAAACTAGTTAAAGACTAATCATCTGATTAAATATGTTAAGCTGATTTAATTACTTTAAAATTAAGGTGTCATAAATGCATTTTCCCAGAAATTAAAAGTGTACAAATAATTTCATTTAAATTAAATATTAAAATATGAATCTAGATGCATTAAAATACAAAGTAAAAATTAAAAAATGATATGTGCACAAATGTAATTGAAGTATTGTATGCATTATAGTATGACTATAAACATGAAAATACAAAGTTGTAAATGAAAAATATATGTGCACAAATAATATCGTTTGAACAATTTTTAAATATTAAAATCTGAATCTAGAAACATGAAAATACAAATTTGCAAATAAAAAAATATTTAAAAATTAGTGCAGAAATAATATAATTTTAATATTTTTTACATATTAAAATGAATCTAGAAACATGAAAATACAAAGTTGAAATTGACAATATTAAAAATTAAATAAATGTCATTTAAATCATTTTTAAACATTAAACCCAAGTTGTAAACACACTCTTATCCACCGATGCTGCATCACTTTACACAGAAGTAAAGCAGCATCAGAGCCGCCTCTGATACATGTTTTATTCCTCCTTTTACTCTGCGATGGGTCTTTAAACACAGAATTTGAAGCAGCTTTAACTGACTCGGACTAAATACAAAGTTAATAAATTGAGGAAGAATTAGTCTTATTTTGATCAGGATGGGCAGGATATTTCCGTATCTGAGCTTGTAAACGTGCTCGAGGTCACTGTAGCTTAGATGCATGTCTACTGTCACAGATCTCAACATCCAGCTCTGACATTTGGAAGGTAAACAATTGAAAGAGGTCACGACATCAGCCCTTTGCAATGCAGCCGTTTTCTGTCCGTCTGCTTGAACGGAGACCGATGCGGTGATGAGAGGACAGCAGCTTGTCTGGATTCTGCTGATGTCTTGAAGGAGAAGCTGATGTGAAGTTGTTTAATGCACATTCAGCTGTCGTTCACCTTGACGCCACTCCCACCGGTCAGCCGTTAGACACCTGCTCCCCGTGGCGCGCTGATAGCACATTCCTACTTCTTCATTGCGTTATGTGCGTGACAGAGCAGGCAGAGAACGCAGCCTGTTTCCAGAAGCCAGTCATTTGTGCTTGTGTTTTATCTGAATTACTTGGCATGCAGTTTTGAGTGTTCTTAACGCAGCCTAGAAGACGTGAAATTTCATCTGGCCTGCTGAGACTTATATAGACTTATATGTCTTTGCATAACAGTAAAAGCCTAATGCAATGTTTCCTCCAGAAAGCTGTAGAAGAAGCTATGTTTATTTACTCAAATAAAATGGTGTGATTGCTGTGCATGAGTCAAAATTAAAAATGATTTGGATGGTGATTTTCACAATATGCATCGCATCAAAGCAGCTTTACAGAAAATAATGATGTTAATGTTTATAATATCTTAATATTTTTTTAGATTACAGCTGTGCAATAATATAGTTGAGATTTTGCAATGATTTAAACAATCAAGCAATTGAAATGTATCGCTCCATAATGTATTTGTGTGTGTGTGTATATATAACAAAATACAAAAAATAGTTTGTATAGATTAAAATCTTTACATTTACATATTTACATATAGTTTAAATTTTTTGACAATATAATAATCAAGCAGTTGAGATTTTCTATATAGTACTTAATGTAAATGTTCTGTATGCATCCATGGAAGGTTGAATATACTTATAGAAGTTGTATAATTCGTTATGAATTATTATATCATTAATTATTTTGTTAACACTTTATTTAAAGCCTTTATATATGTATGTCTGTGTGTGTGTGTGTGTGTGTGTGTGTGTGTATGTGTGATGCATTATACAATTATTTTAATGCATTAATTATGCTTTGTAATGCACCTTATAATGCTTTGTATGATCTCATGAATAAAAGCTATAATACATTATAATACATATTTATTCATTGTTACACCTTTAAAATGTATAATGCATTAAAACACGACGAACTAACCTTCAAATATGATAATGCATTTTAACTTTGATTATAATTATTTATGAAAAGGTACAATGCATTAGAATGTACACAATGCATTACTTTTATAATGCATTATACATAAAGGCTGGAAGTATAGTATTACTATTAATTAAAGAGATTAATTTATATGAAATTTATATAAGGACCTGAGTAGTTAGAAATGCCCTCCTGTTCTGATATATCTGTGCTTTATTTATTTATTTATTTGTTGATTGAGGCTGTTTGTTGTGGCTTAATGAGCCATGAACTGTTTTTTTTCTTCTGCATGTTGCCTGAAATATCTCAGAACCTTTATTTTGGTCTGTGTTTCTTTGTAAGCTTAGTCACACAAAGACTGTTTGGTTTCTTCGCCCACAGACGGGAAGTCTTAAAACTGTGTTTATCACCAGGACTTTTCTTAAACGGCTTTTGGCACGTAAGTCGTGACCGGAAACGGTGCCATTTTTTGACATTTTTGAGTTGTTTTCTTTGGTGTTTAGTGAGAAAGTGTGATGTGATTGTGGTGGAAAATGCTTAAAGGAATAGTTTTTTTTTATATTAATATCCTCATCCTTAGACAATCAATAGGATGAGTTTGTTTCTTCATCAGGTTTGTAGAAATGTAGCATTGCATCAGTGTCTCAGCAATGGATGCTCTGCAGTGAATGGGTGCCGTCAGAATGAGAGTCCAAACAGCTGATAAAAACATCACAATAATCCACAAGTAACCCACAGCACTCCAGTCCATCAGTTAACATCTGGAGAAGACAAAAGCTGAAACAAATCCAGCATTAAGACGTTTTTAACTAAAATACCAGAGTTCATAATCCATAATAACTCTTCCTCCAGTGAAAAAGTCCATCTGCTGTTGTCTCTCAC